GGGCGAAAAAATGGGGAAGGTTTAGGGGATCTGTTGAAGGGCAATTTTTTTGTGTTTTAACCCTAATAGCAGATTAGGGGTATTTTACACAACCTTTTGGAGTTGCTCTTATAGAAGAATGCTACCATCCCATTATGGAATGATTTCGTTGCGTTTTCTAGCCATAAATATATATGTAATTTAGTGATGGTTCGTTGTGTTTTTTAGCCATAGATATATATGTAATTTAGTGATGGGTAGTTAATCCAACGCTTAAAAATACAACAGAACCATCCCGTAACGGGATAGTAGCATTCTCCTATATTATAATGGTCAATACACATTAATTAATCATGCCATTTTTATTTTTTTTTGATAACTAAGAGCATGTTTGTTTATAAAAAATTTTGGGTTTGTTTGGATTTTTTGGTTTGGTTTAGTTAATTTTGAAAAAATTGTATGGTTAGTTGTTAATAGTTATATTAAAATAATATTTAAAATAAAATAATTAAAATTGGATTGATGTAAAAGTAGGAAAGAGAAGATGTGATGTGATGGTTAGTTAAAATAATGTGAGTGGATGAATAGTGAATTAAGGTTTATGTGGTGTGTATAAATGATTGATTGATATTATTTAATTATATTGATAATATTGATGATAGTGAGGTTGAGTTAAAAAAGTGGTTGAGTTAAAATGTGAGAATTTTTTTGAAAAATCTTATAAACAAACATGCTCTAAATTGTTTTTCTAATTCTTGTGATATTTACTTGAAAAAAAATGTAGCGACTATTCCATCATAGTTGATCGTGGTTCTTTCCGTTTCGAATAATTGTTGTTTGATGTGTGTAATTTGTAAACACTTTGATCTGGTCCAACAATGTTCGAACCATCCTTCAAACTGCTCTAATAATCTACAAACCAGTGCTTAGGGCTGAGCATGAGACTCGGAGAATTCCAAACCGTTCCGAAAACCGAACCGAAAAAAAACCGTTGACCGTTTGACTTTCTCTGAATCGAACCGAACCAAAAATAATTGGTACGGTTTTGGAGATTTCACAAATATCCGTACCGAGAACCGAACCGAACCGTCCCGTATTGTACCGAACCGCAGAACCGAAATTATGAACCGAATTATAACATTAGATGTGTTATTAATATATTTTATGTCAACTTTGATTCTATATAATATAGTAATAAATATTAACTTTCACTTAGTTTCATGCTTAGTAATACTTGATCTACAATTAATTTTTTTCTATTACAAAATAATATTTTAAACTAATATGAAAGTTTAAAGAATATTTATTTTAAGAAAAAAATATTATATTTTATTTGAATTTTAAATATTCAATAATAGTTGCACAAATATAGTTATAACTGAAATTTAGAGTTACTTATAAAATTGATTTCAAAATAAAATCTTTAATGTGAGGAAGTACTGATGAATGTTGGTTTTATTAAAGCATATAAAAATAAAATAACTAAAATTTAGAGTTACTTCTAGAATTTGTTTCAAAATAAAATCTTCAATATGATGAATTATTGATGAATGTTGGTTTTTTAAAACATATAAACATTAAAATATAACCAGATAGTCATTCAAAAATAATTTAAAAAATAAAAAATCTCCAAAGATCCGAACCAAACCATACCGAACCGAACCGTCCCAATAGTTCCGAATACCGAACCGAACCGTATCGAAAAATAAAAATATCCGAACCGAACCGACTTTTTGGTACGGTTCCGGAGATCGAGTTTTGGGATCTCCGAAGTTTGGTACGATTCTGGAGATTTATCAATCTTCGAACCGTACCGACCCACGCTCAGCCCTACCAGTGCTAGAAGATGTCCCGGCGTAAAGTTTTTTATGCTCAAGTCAGAAACTCTTCAAAATAAATTTGGTACATGCATGCAGTGTGGTATATTATTAGTAATTGTGTCTTAGGGTTTTCATACCTATCCTTGTGCTATTTATATAGATTACCTTATTAAATAAGCAACCAAATTTGGTTAAGATCTCTGATATTTGCGAGAAATTTTCTCTGTACGTCACATAGTTTCAAACTTTCAAACTCTAACCTTTCATACTTGGATAGTATATATATTAGGTCGATCCTCTTATACCTTTTACTATATAGCCATTGTAAATCCAAGTTAAGCATCCCATATATCGTCCATGGACCCTAACTCGACGCGGACCAATCTTCCATCTAGCTCGTTTAAATGATTTAACTTTCATCCTGACCTACTTTCTGTCGACCCGAGTTACTCCCCATCCACCTGACCTGTTTACTGTTGACCTGAGCTGCCTTTGGACTGAGAGAGCTACTAGTCATTATGATACACCATATGATCATCCTCATATCTTTGCATACAAATGACAATAGAATGATAGATGTAACAAT